AACATGGCCCTCGCTTCCGTACGCAACGGGCACCCATCACGTTAGCTCCCCCCTTCGTTCGGGGAGACGTAAGACCCGGGTACGGGGGACTCGGAAATCCCCGACGAGGTCGTCAATAAAAACGACGAGGCCGAGCCTGCATTTTGACGAGGCCTCCCGCTGCAGACATCCCACAAAACTCCTCCTCGTCAAAATCCGAGTCGCGATCGTCAAAAAACGATGGCGAACCCGAGTCCTGGCAAACCCGGGTCTTACGCGTCCCCGATTCGTGGGGAAACATGTCATGCATCAGAGGGGCCCAAATTCCCTGACCCCCCTCCCAGAAACAATTCGCCGACACCTCTCAGGTGGCACCCTACTATCTCCAGCTAAAGCGGCCCATGGTCGTCGAGCAACTTTGACCGAGAACCGAGCATCGAACATCGAAGATCGGGGCTGGGAAACCACGTGGACGACGACGACGGGTTCCGTCCGCAAGCCGCCCGAAGCAACAACAGAGTGCCACAGCCTCGAATCTCGGGCCCCCATCCTTGATCCTCTTCCTCGTGCTCCGTGTTCGATGAGAAGGTCCCCAGACCGGGACACACCCCCTTCGCCCGCCTCCTCGCGCGAGCCCGAGGCCTCCAGCGCCACCCGGGAATGCCGCTCGGTGTGCGCGGGCCCGTCTCCCTCTCTCTCTCTCTCTGCCTCCCCCCGCGGCCGCTTCTCCTTTAAAGGAAAAAGAACTATGCACATGCACCGATTCTGGCCAGGCCCATCCTGAGCTCAGGATCGGTGCATACGCCCTCCTACCCTGGCTAGGAAGGTATGTGCACCGATCCTGGGTCAGGGATGGGCCTTGCCAGGATCGGTGCATGTGCATAGTTCCCTTCGCCCGATCCTTCCGTCTCTCAGCGCAGTGCGCTCCCGCGCAGCCCGCCGCAGCCTTCGGCCTCGACGGCCCCCTTTTGTCGCTGCGGGCCGAGGCAGATCGACGCCGAAGCCGACGTCGGGCCCTCGACGCCTGGCGAGTGTTGCCTGACGCAGTCGTGTGCGCCAGCCTCGGGAAGCACTCTCGCGCTCGGGCGTCGGGCCCCAAGGAGCGGCGTGCCGGCCCTTCGGCTCTTTGGGGGCAGCCCCCAGACGCTCTTGGCCCCTGTCTCGAGGGACGGCACTCCGAGCACGTCGTGTTGGCCTGTCCTCTGCACGCGGTTCGACGCTGCTGTCCCCAGGTTGTGCAGCCTCTTCTGGCGAGCTCCTCTGCCACGAACGCGTCTGCGGGGCCGAGCACGGAGGAATCGCGACGCCGTGGCGCTCCACGCGCCCAGCCACACTTCGCGCGCACCTCCGCACAAGGCTGAAGTCGGGCCTGTCCCTCTTCAGGGGGGGAATCTTCAAAAACAGTCAAACAACAGTATGGGGACGATTTTTTCACCATTTTTGAACATTTTGGGATGTTTTGGGATCTGTTGGAACGCATCGGCGCCGAGAGACCTGGGCGGGCCGAGACCTCTCCGCAAGCCGAGCGTGCACGGGCCTGCGATGACCCCCTGGCGGCTGGCCCCGCCTGCTGCACGGCGATGGTCACGAGGCTTCTGTTGTCCCCATCCTACTTACTCCAGATTTCGTAATCCAAGGGAGGGGGTCTGGACCCTCCAAGACAAGCCATTTCAGACCTCCCCCGTGGGAGAACCCTCCAAAACACCGTCCCCAGACCCCCCCCAGGCCCTCCAAGATAGCCTGGAAGAGACCCCCCCCCGAAATGAGACCCCCCCTTTTATTACGAAATCTGGAGTAATGACCACATCCCAGAAATAATGTCGAGCACCCAGAGAAGTGCTCGAAATTCATTCTGGTGATCAAGGCTGAAGCGGATCGGAACCTCATGACACAAGGCCCTGACAAGAGACACGACGTTGGCGGCGCGCAGAGGGGGTTATGGGGAAGGGGGAAGGCTTCTTAGAAGGGGAGCTGCTTCTTAGAAGGCGCCAGCCTTTTATGTATGCAGCAGGCCCGCGCCTTCTCAGAAGCAGGGGTGCTTCTAAGAAGTCTTCCCCCCTCCCCCTACCCCCCTCTGCGCGTGGCCGACGTCGACCCCGAAGACACACGCGAACCGCTCGGCACATCCCGCAATCGAGAAGCGAACTCGCCGGTGATCTACCCCCTGGCGGTTCCCCCATTGGGCCTCCCATTTGCCATGCCTTCTGTATATCGCGGCGATCACGCGGCCCGGAACAGAGGCGCGTCGACCTCCTAACGCAAGCGCCTCGCTCGAGAGATCCTCACTTCCTATGGACGCGAATGGGCTCGTGATGTGCCCCTATGGCGGCTCCCCCCTGGGGTGCCTAGAGGACGTGCCTGCCAACCGCGATGATCACGGGGCTCTGAAAATAAGCACGGCTCCTGCAGTAATTAAGCGAACCGCTCGAGACATCCCCCACATCTGGACGCGCTCAAAATCGATGTCTGGGCGAGTGAGCCAGGGACGCCAGGGACCAGGGCGAGAAGGAAGGAGGCGAGGGCATCACACGAATGACGAGAATGAGGCGCATAACGAATGGCGAGGGCATCATATTCTGGAGATTGGGAAACTTGCATGCTTGAGCATCGTGGACGCGGCTCGTGTGCCCCATGGGGGGCACATCTGAGTCCCGAGGATCCGCTACAATGACTCCATCGGCGCATAGCACCCCGACATCTCGATGCCTTCCCGGTGGCTGTGTTTTCGCCCCCAGATCGTGGCTTGACAGCCCCCGGACCCTGACGCGGCCTCGGGAAGCCGGCACTGTACGAGAACCACCTCCGATGTGATTATGTGCCGACTCGCGGCACCGGAGCTCAGGACTCCTTCTCCTGGGAACAGTTCTTGCTCGTTCTCGCCCCATTCTGTGGTTCTTTGATTTTTTGACTCGCTTGGGAGCAGCTTTTGATGACTTGATGGTGAATACATTTTTTTGGCTCTCCGGGGAGCAATGCTTCATTCTTTGATTGTCCTGGGGCCTGGAGACGGCCCCCGGAAAGGCCGAAACGGCTCGAGGCTCGAGGACCCATCGAGGAGCGAGGGTGGAGGATCGGAGGATCGAGGACCAGGGATCCAGGTTCGAGGATCGGGGATGGAGGATCGAGGATCGATCGAAGACCGAGGAGGACGGCGCGGCGGCAAGAAAAAGCCGCCGGGCGGCTGGGCTCTGTCCTGCCTGTCTTCTGGGCCGGGCGTGGCCCCGACGCCGCCCCGCGCCAGCTCCCAGAGGTCAGATCGGGCCAGCTCCTCCTCCTTCCCCTCCCCCTCCTCCTCTTCCTCCTCCTCCTCCTCCCCCTCCTCCCCCTCCTCCTCCTCCTCCCCCTCCTCCCCCTCCTCCTCCTCCTCCCCCTCCTCCTCCTCCACCTCCTCCTCCTCCTCCTCCTCCCCCCTCCCTCCTCCTCACTCCTCCTCCTCCTCCTCCTCCTCCTCCTCCTCCTCCTCCTCCTCCTCCTCCTCCTCCTCCTCCTCCTCCTCCTCTCCTCCTCCTCCTCCTCCTCCTCCTCCTCCTCCTCCTCCTCCTCCTCCTCCTCCTCCTCCTCCCCCTCCTCCCCCTACAGGCGGATTCTGGAAGAGAAGTGAAAGACGGCCCAAATATGCAAATAAACCATCAAACATCGTCGAAACACCGTCCCCAGGCTATGCTTTGACTATCTTGGAATATTCCTCCTGTGGAGGGACATGCACGACTTGACCCAGGGGTGCCCCGGCTGGCCGCCCCGGCAGCCCCGTGGCGGCTGCCGCCGTGTGAGCGCTCAACCTTTATTCCCCCCCCCCCACGGCCGCCTCGCCCCCCTCTGCCACCCCCTCTTGCCGCTAGGACACTTCGGGGATCTTCTGACCCGGGTCAAGCAAGACCCGGGTCAGCAAGAAACCAAAACACTGCAATACAGGAAAGAAAAAAAACGGCAACGCAGGTCTTCGCAAACCCGGGTCAGCCAATCTGCGCGGCCGCCTCGCGGCCACCAGCGGCTCGCTAACCCAGGTCAGCCAGAGGGGGTCTTCGCAGGATCCTGCAGGAAGAAAGAGGAGGAGGAGGAGGAGGAGGAGGAGGAGGAGGAGGAGGAGGAGGAGGAGGGGGGAGGAGGAGGGAGGAGGAGGAGGTTCGAGGAGGAGGGAGGAGGAGGAGAGGATCGAGGAGGAGGGAGGAGGGAGGAAGAGGAGGTCTGGCCGACCCCCGTTTACACCGACCCCCGTCTCTGAGGCTCCGCACACGTCGCGCCGGCCGCCTCCCGGCCCGCCCGGATTGTGCGCGCGCGGGCTGCCGCCGCCGCGCTGCGACGTCCTGCGGGCCCCCGACGTCGTGACTTTTTGTCGCAATGTCGACCACCGCTACGAAACCGTATGCAAAGGTATGAAAACTTGAGAGGAAAGAGAACTATGCACATACACCCCGATTCTGGCCAGGCCCGTCCTGAGCCCAGGATCGGTGCATTCGCCCTCCTACCGTGGCCAGGAAAGCATATGCACCGATCCTGGGTCAAGGATGGGCCTTGCCAGGATCGGTGCATATGCATCATTCTCTTCGCCCGAAACTTGTCAGAAGTTATGAAAACATATAGCTCCTAGAGGTTATTCATATCGATACTTGCGAACCGCAGGGTAAGGTGGCGCTAACTATGCTATGCAAGTATGTGAGAACTCGGCGCTAACTATGTTGTGTGAGTATGTTACAATTTAGTCATGCGTACTCATAAACCGCCTACGGCCAAAATGCACAAAGCCGACGTCGTGATTTTCTCACAACGTCGACCACCAGAGGTCTGGACCCCTTCCCCGGGACCGGCTTCCATCCCGAGTCGTTTTTCTTGAGGCTCCCGGGACCCTGTATAGGGGCCACCATGGGGGCCGAAAATGGCGAAACACCTCGCGACGCGATAATTATTTCTGTGACAGCGCGAGGAGGTCTGGGGCGAAACAGATTCTGGGCCGTCGGAGGTCTGGGCTCTCTCCCTCCTGGGCTGGCGGCCGGCGCTGGGTGGCGGCGCGGGCGGGGCAGGGGCGTCCTGGGCCTCCGCCGTGGCCATCCATTCCCTGCGGGTCGCCCTCCTCCTCCTCTTCGGGCTCGGTCTGCTACCTCCTCTTTCTCCAACCTCTTCCTCCTCCTCCTCCTCCTCCTCCTCCTCCTCCTCCTCCTCCTCCTCCTCCTCCTCCCCCTCCGTCTGCCTCTTCCTCCTCCTCCTCCTCCTCGCTCTTCGTTCTTATCCTCGTTGCATTGGTCGAACTTGAGCGACTCGGCTGGAGCGTTCCGGTATGTATCCTGTACCGTATGGAGAGAACGTCAAAGCCGCTCACTCCGGAAACGAAATGCCATTCAACATCGCTGTCGGATCCATCCGACTTGCTGCCCCTAGGCTGGAACGTTCCGCTTCATTATCCTTCTCCACCTCCTCCCCCTCCTCCTCCTCCTCCTCATCATCATCATCCTCCGTCTGCTTACTGCTCCTCCTCCTCCTCTTCCTTTGAATGGGAAAGGGATGAGGCGGCGCAGGGTGGTATGCCAGGGGCAAGAGGGGCCCTCGACAGGGACAGCCTGTGGCGGCCTCTGGGTGCGAGGCCACCCCTGCCGGACTCATCCTCGCAAGTCATTCGACACAATAGCGTGTTCGTTCACAGACTGAGCCGGTCATTCACAGATTTGCGCAGGGGGCTACGTGGCGCAGCACTACCATCCATGATGCGGTGGCGCCTACGCTGATCGCCTCAATCGGCCTCTGCATCAGCTGGTGCCCTCGCCTTTTCTCGGGCGCTGCGTCTCCGTATTGAACGGGACGCACGTGATTGATTGCAAAGGGGTGCCGTCCGCAGCGTATATCAGCATAGCAGCATAGCGGCGACCCTCGTGCGAGGCCCGCGCCTCGGACCGAACCGACTCACTAAACTTGCCACCGAAGACGCAGAGGTGAAATTCGTCGACCCTGCTCGGCCCAGAGCGGTTTGCCTGCCAACGATGAGAACGGCAAACTTGTATTATGGTGGACGGACCCATCTACACGGGGCCGCTATACAGGCTGCCACGGCCAAGCACGCAGCGCCGATATGTTTGCAGGCCTCGCGCGCGCATTCTCCAACAGGGGCACCACGTTTGATAATGATTTCCGCCAGCGTGCCCTTGAGGCACGAGTGGGAGTGTTCTCAGGTCCCTTGCTCAAATATCTGGAGCCTCAGTCCTCAAGTCCTGAAGATTACTTCAAGGCACCAGACCCCGAATTCCTAGATCTCCCCGGGCTTGTCGCGTGGCTTCCCGGGCTTGTCGCATGACTTCTTCGGGCCTAAAAGGGCCCCAAGACGGGCCACGAGTGCCCCGATCGCTGAACGATCGGCCCACGACGCCCAAGATGTGCTCCAGTCTGCCGAAACAGCGCCCAAGACGTCCGGGCGTCCAAGACGGCCCAAAACGGCCCCAAGGGAGCCCAAGAGGGGGAACACGAACCGACAATTCGAGCCTTCCGTTCCAAGATGCCCCCAGAGGCCCCCGAAACGCCCCAGAGGTCTCAAACACGGCCCCCAAGAGGCGTCAAAAATGCCTCCACGAGGCCGCCGAGAGGCATCCCGCGACATTCCAACGAACATCCTGGCCTCTGGCCCACAACGCACGCACGGTGGCGGGATGGGCAGAAGACCAGTCACCCAGAAAAGGTGGGAGGCAAGGGTATTCCACCCGAAATGGTTCCAAGATGTCCTACAAGACGGCCACGATGGCCTCCAAAATGTTTCCAAGATGCTTCCAAGGTGGCCAAGATGACCCAAGATGACCTCCAAGACGGTCCCGAGACGCGGCCAAGATGGCCCCAAGACGGCCCACGATGTCCTCCAGACGGCCCAAGAGGCCCCTAAGACGCCCCAAGTAGGCTCCAAGAGGACTTCCAGGAGGCCCGAGTCCCTGATTGTCTTATGTTTTTCGATGATTTGAGCTTTCTCGCTTTTTCGTTCTTCCGACGCTCCAAGACGGGCGAGTATCTTCAAGATCGCTCCTAAACGGCCGAGGAGGATCTCAAGAGGCTCGCAAGACGGCCGAAGAGGTCCCCAAGACAGCCCAAGGGGCCCCCAAGACGCCCCAGAAACCTCCAAGGCGGCCCTAAAGCGCCGAAGTACGGGACCGACGACTGCCGACTAAACGTGGAAGCGTCGTGTCGATCTCGGCCACCGTCGATCTTGGTCAGCGTCAATTCGTGGAGCATCCTCGCGAATCGGGGACGGCCGACGTGGAACATCACCAAGATCGGCATCGACGAAAGCCCGCAACGTCTTCTTCCCTCGAGAACAGGTCTCGCTGCCGGTGCCGCCGCGGACGCAGTCCAGTTGAGGCAGAACGTCGCCAGCCCAACGGCCGCTGTCGGCCGCTGTCGGTTTTGGACAACGTTGGCTGGTGGGCATCGTACCATTTGTTCATTTGTTCTATGCCGTTGTTGGGAGCGCCCAATGACGTTGCCCTCCCCCTTGCTGGGCTGACCGAAGAGCGCTGGGACGACAGCTCATCTCGTGTCATCGTCAGAACAATCCCCAATCTCCTACTGGGTAGGTTGGCTGTCCGAGCGTCCCCCCCCCGCTAGGATGGGATGGGCGTTGTGAAGCCCGAGGGGACAGTGGGGCCAGGGTTTTCCCAACCAGTAGAGTTTCGAAAATGGCTTCACTGTTCTAAAAAAGCCTTCGTGTGCTCCTTCAAACATCCGACGTCGTGATTATTTCACAGCGCGGCTCCCCTAAATCCCTAAGCTCTGGTCCCCAATCGTTTCTTGACGGTCGCTGGGCCCGGAAAGGGCCCCCGCAAATCGAAAATAGCTAAATTCCTTTCGGTCCTGTTCTTTCACGACGCGAGGATGTCAGCGTTGTTGCGTCCTCGTTTTCTCTGCGCTGCCCCGAGATCCCTGACCCGCAAAACCCAGAATGCCATCACTTCCGCTGCGTGCCGCACAGGAACGCGCCCCGCTCTGCACACAGCTGCACAAGAGGTGGGCCCTGCAGTGATTACGCTCATTTTCAAGAGCTCCAGGAATCCGAGAACACCCTTTTCGCTCAAAATCCTTTCGAAATCAACCCCTGGACACATCCCGTGATCAATCCTGGCCAATGCTTTGTTTCGGAGCAGAGAGACTCCAGAAACGCCCCAAAACATGTCGAGCAGAAGACGCCGACGTCGTCGATGTCGCTGGTGCTTGAATTAAGCAGGACGAGGAGCTAACCAACTTGAGTCTTGACCAAAACAGAGCGCGATCACTGGCTTCCTGGAAGTCTGAAGACCTTCCAGAGAGCAAGCCTTCCCTCCTGGCGAGATTTTGAAGGTCCCACGGCCAGGCCAGGGCCCCCGGAGGCGGAAACCTGCCGAAACCTCCCAGGCGCGACGTCCTCATGACGCAAGGATGTCGAGGGGGGAGGATAGAGGAACAAAAAACCACATAAACAGAAACATTCGGAGGTCCGCGCGAATTTCTTGGATCTGCGCTGGGCCCCCCTCCCTGGCGCGCGGAGCGCGCCAGGAGCGGCGCTGGAGGCGCCGCCGGGGGCGCCCGGGCGCCGGTATCCAAGAAATCCGCACGGGAGCGCCGACAGGTTCTGCCTACGCCGTTGCCTCTTCCTCGGCAGGAGGAGCAGTCTCCACCTCTATCTGGCGCGAGAGAGAACAGCAAGGATGACTGCCTACCAGACCACCCCAACCCAACCCGAAGACCCGAATTTCGGGTTGGGGGGGGTATGGGCTCCATATGTGTTCTTTCGATGTTCCCGGACCCCCCCCCCACTAGAAATCGAGGGTAAATCTGAGCCTTCGGGTTGGGTTGGGGTGGTTTGGTGGGTGGTGAAAGGAGCACCTCGCCGTGATCGGCACGGGCCGCTCGGACTCCGGCACGTCCAGGTTCCCCGCCTCGAGGCTCTCCCGCGCCTTGACCTTGCACGCCCCTCGCTCCCCCGCGAGGGCGGCGCCCGGCCGCCACCGTCCGGCCCTGTCGGCGTGGTGCTGCTGGGCCCCCGGCGCCCTCTGGTCGTCCAGGAAATTGTTTCAGTTTGGGAGGGGGGGGGCGGACAGCAAGGATGCACGCCGCGAGCCTCGCCGGACGCGCCGCCGAGAGAGCCAGCCCCCCGCAAGGTTGTCCTGCGAGCGCGGCCGAGGTTCTGGCCGCGGGAACACACAGGCAGCACCAGCAAGAGCAAGCCTCGCAGGGGACGGCCTCAAATTGACGACAGGCCGGTACATTATTGTCTGTAGTTGCTGTGCGTGCGTTCGGCCTCTGAAGGCCCTTGCTGGACCCCAGGACCGTCCGAAAGCAGCTCGCGCGATGAAAGGTCGGCTCTCGGGAAGGGATCGAGACTTTCTGGGGAGCCACGCTGCGGAGAACAGCCACGACGTCGGAGGCCTGGGTGCGCTTGGACCCCCCTGGCTATCGCTCGGACGTCCATTTGCTGTGCTTTTTTCGGTTTCGTGCGTGTTTTTTTTTCGCGAAATGAACAAGGATGCTCCTCGATGGTCCTCGCCAGAGGAAAAATGCACACGTCCGAGCGATACCAAGCCCCACGGCTCCCCTGTGCGGTGACGGAGCCCCAAGACCTCCTCGGTGCCTGGCCAGCACGGGGAAGAGAAGGCGGACGGGGGCATCCGAAGAGGTGGGGCAGGAAGAGGGGCGTGAGGACCAGGAGAGAAGGAGAAGAGAGCGAAAGGGAGAAGGGTCCAAGGGGGGGCTGGGGGGGGAGGCGGACGTGAGGAAGGAGTGCGCAAGAAACAGCGGAGCAGTTGATGATCAAGGCAGCGCCTGAAAAACCCAAAGACGACGACTCTGACCAACCACTCGCATACCAAAAGCCGAAGCAGTATCATTAGCCGGCTTCGAAGACCTCGAAATAACAGCAACTAGTTCATCAAAAAAATGTAAAAAGCGTTAGTCGAACCTGTAGTCCGTTCTTGCCCTCACAAGCCAACAATCCAACATCAATGGGAGCGAAGCGCTAGTGAGAACATAATGCGTAGCGTTAAATACACTAAGAGTCGCAGAAGTGGATCAGACAGCCGCAACAATATGGTGCTCCTTGCATGGGTGAAGCTCACATAGCCGTGGTGCACGCATAAAGACGTAGCCGAGTATACGCAGAACAAATTCCACCCATGTCATTTCCAGCTGAAACACTAGTAATGATAACGGCAATGACCGCACTACCTCTCGCGCGAACACCCCACCAACATGACCAACAATCGTACTATGCAGTAGCCGTGATTGTAGTACGACGTGTGGAAATAATGGTTTGGATATGACATCACAAAGCTGGGGAAGCAGAACGAGCCGCGGTAACCGTACCTATGGAAATACAAGCACTACCACTGTGAGTCGTAAGACAATCATTCGTGGCCATGTATTCATAGCACCAACACTTTCAATACAGCGATCCCCACCTGAGAGGTGCTGCGAAAGCGTGCGAAGTCTTTCCCGTGTGTAAGGCCAGCATGGAGTATTCTATAACTGCGCACAGCGCAAACCTCATCTCTGTGTTTGCTTTGAACTGCTACCCACGCACAATCTTTATCCATGCATACATGTGTGTAAGACGCATGTCTCTCCTTCGGCTCTAGATCTGCCATACACGTCTGGTGTCTGTGTTGGTTCGCCGTGGTTTCCCGCTGCGAGGGCATCTTCTGGACTGCACATGTTTATAAGAAAGTTGAGCATGATCATTACGCAGGATGTCTCTATGAGATGGACTACCGTGTGTTGTGTATGCTGATGTTGTGTGCTCTCCTATATGTTGCAATGCTCCGTAGGTGTGCGCATTGCGTATGTCATGTTAACAAGTCATTGCGAACAAGTGCGGTATTCAAATTCAGATACTGGTTGCAACGCTGTTGTATTCAACGTGCGCTCGCTACTTGACCGTAGCACCCCGCAATTGTGGATAAGAGTGCGGGGGCTGGCGCGGGCGACGCGGGCGTCAAGCCGGCGGACCTCGTGGGCCTCGCCTCACCTTCCCTGTCGATGGCGATCTCCTCCTCCTCCTCCTCCTCCTCCTCCTCCTCCTCAGGCGCCGATTGCGTCGATTTCTGCGTGCTCTGACAAATTCAGCGCGGGGGGGGATCCCTGGTGGGCCACCCGGGACGAATGCAAAAAAAACCCGCCGCAGGCGCCGAAGTTTTGGCGTGTTCAGTGGACGTAGTTTGGGTCGCGGGTGGGTCGCGGGCTCTCCACCTCGACCTGGAAGGAATTCAAAAACAGCCCGCCGCAGGCGCCGAACATTTGGATGTGTACACTGAGCGCGGTCTGGGTTGCAGGTTCTCCACCTGGAACGAATGCAAAAGAAACCCGCCGCAGGCGCCGAAGTTTTGGCGTGTTCAGGGAACGTAGTTTGGGTCGCGGGTGGGTCGCGGGCTCCCCACCTCCACCTGGGAAGAATTCAAAAACAGCCCGCCGCAGGCGCCGAAAATTTGGGTGGGTCGCGGGGTGGGTCGCGGGTGGGTCGCGGGTGGGTCGCGGTGGGTCGCGGGTGGGTCACGGGCGCGGTTTGGGTCGCGGGTGGATCGCAAGTTATCCACCTGGAGCGAATGCAAAATAAACCCGCCGCAGGCGCCGAAAATTTTGGGTGGCTCGCCGGGTGGGTCGCCGGTGGGTCGCGGGTGGGTCGCGGTGGGTCGCGGGTGGGTCGCGGGTGGGTCGCGGGTGGTCGCGGGGTGGGTCGCGGGTGGGTCGCGGGTGGGTCGCCGGTTTGTCGCGGGTTGGTCGCCGGGGGGGTCTCGGCGTGGGTCGCGGGCGGGTCGCGGGGTGGGTCGCGGGTGGGTCGCGGGTGGGTCGCGGGTGGGTTGCGGGGTGGGTCGCGGGTGGGTCGCGGGGTGGGTCGCGGGTGGGTCGCGGGTGGGTCGCGGGGTGGGTCGCGGGTGGGTCGCGGGGCGGGTCGCGGGTGGGACGACGACGACGACAACAAACAACAAACAACAAGAATCCACATCGATGAATTCCACTTCAGCCACGCACCCAGGGACAGTGAATGACCGTTCGGTTCAGCCCCTTCACTCTGACTTATGCGCGCAAATTTCTGTATCGAAGAATTCCTTTTACGAATAACCCCTTGCAGAAAATGGTGCCGCAATGTCTGCACGGGCACGCACATTTCGAAAGGCCGAATACGGTCGTATCGCAAACATTCCAACATAAATGCATTGAACACCTATTGTGGCTTTCCAATACAAATATTGCAAAGAAGTTCTGCCCGCAACTGCTTTCTCCCGGAGATCAAAAGAAGGCCGTGTTACTTTAACGTATTTGCACAGAAACCGCATTTCTACCGAACCATGGGGTGCTTCCCCGTTGATCTAGCATGCGCCGAATCCTCAAATCCATATCGAATAATACCATGCGGGCCACATGCGCGCACCGCCATGCGCGCGCGTGCCGAAATCCTTTCATTTTTCTGTTACCTAACAGCTTTTGCTGATAGGTTTCTAGTGGGCTCAAAAAGGAAGCATCTTGACGCCCCAGGGGGGTCTGGGCGGGATCCGGACAGATCCGGACAAATCAGCCAGCCCCAGGAATCCTTAGGAATCCTGAGGAATCCTAAAGAATTCTTACGAATCCTTAGGAATCCATTCCCAGAACACCGCTCCCAGGCCACATTTTGAATGCCCGGAGCCAACTGTAAGCCACTTCGTGTTCTTCGTGTTCCCAGAACACAATTCCCAGGCCACATTTTGAATGTCTGGAGCCAACTGTAGGCCACTTCGTGTTCTCCGTGTTCCCAGAACACCCTTCCCAGGCCACATTTTGAATGCCCGGAGCCAACTGTAGGCCATTTCGTGTTCTTCGTGTTCCCAGAACACCGTTCCCAGGCCACATTTTGAAATGCCCGGAGCCAACTGTAAGCCACTTCGTGTTCTTCGTGTTCCCAGAACACCATTCCCAGGTCACATTTTGAATGCCCGGAGCCAACTGTAGGCCACTTCGTGCCATATGTTGATTGCCCGGAGCCAACTGTGAGCCACTTCGTGATCTTCGTGTTCCCAGAACACCAATCCTTTGCCATGTTTTGAATGCCCGAGCTGAGGCAGGCTGAAGCTGAGGCAGGCTGAGGCCGAGGCAGGCTTAGACTGAGGCTGAGGCAGGCTGAGGCTGAGGCTGAGGCAGATGCAGGCTGAGGCTGAGGCAGGCTGAGGCTGAGGCTGAGGCAGGCTGAGGCTGAGCCTGAGGCTGAGGCCGAGGCAGGCTGAGGATGAGGCTGAGGCAAGCCGAGGCAAGCTGAGGATGAGGCTGAAGCTGAGGCAGGCTGAGGCTGAGGCTGAGGCAGCGGCTGAGGCTGAGGCAAGCTGCGGCTGAGGCAGGCTGAGGCTGAGGCTGATGCAGGCTGAGGCTGCAGGCTGAGGCTGAGGCAGGCTGAGGCTGAGGCTGAGGCTGCAGGCTGAGGCTGAGGCTGAGGCAGGCTGAGGCTGAGGCTGAGGCCTGCAGGCAGGCTGAGGCTGAGGCTGAGGCTGAGCCTGAGGCAGGCTGAGGCTGAGGCCTGAGGCTGAGGGAGGCTGAGGCTGAGGCTGAGGCTGAGGCAGGCTGAGGCTGAGGCTGAGGCTGAGGCGAGGCTGAGGCCGAGGCAGGCTGAGGCTGAGGCCGAGGCAAGCCGAGGCAGGCTGAAGCTGAGGCTGAGGCTGATGCTGAGGCAGGCTGAGGCTGAGACAGGCTGAGGCTGGGGCTGAGGCAGGCTGAGGCTGAGGCAGGCTGAGGCTGAGGCCGAGGCAGGCGAATCCTTCAGAATCCTTAGGATTCCCTAGGAATTCTTACGAACCCCTAGGAATCCCTAGGAATCAGTATTCCTAAGGATTCCTAAGGTTTCCTAAGGATTCCTAAAGATTCCTAAGGAGGCCTAAGGATGCCTTAGGAATCCCTAGGAATCCTTAGGTTTCCATTGGATCCTAAGGCCGTTGCCACTGCGACTGTCATTGCGAATGCGACTGCGACTGCGAGAACAGCAGAATTCTACAACGGGATTCCCACCTGAATATTAAGGGGAATGCTTCCAGATATGCTTATACACATCGTTGTTAGGTTGCTTTGCCAGGATATGTTTTCTCGAAGCGCTCCAAGAAAGAGCTCCTCACAAACACACGAAGAACACTCATATTATCTTAAGCATACCGCATAGACCACCCTTCGGGTGATAAGGAGGTGAGGGGGGGGGAGGGACCAACGTCGCACTCGATTGATCTCACTATCGAACTCACTACCGATCTCACAATCGATCCCAATCGATAGATCTCACAATCGATCTGACTATCGATCTCACAATCAATCTCACAATCGATCCCACAATCGATCTCACATTCGGTCTCGCTATTGATCTCACAATCGATACCACCATCGATCTCGCATTCGATCTGACTATCGGTCCCACTATCAAACTCACTATCGATCTCTTTATCGATCTCACATTCGGTCTCACTATCGATCTCACCATCGATATCACAATCGATCTCACAATCGATCTCGCATTCGGCCTCGCTATCGATCTCTCTATCGAACTCACTTTCGATATCATTATCGATCTCACTACCGATATCACAACCGAACTCACAATCGATCTCACATCCGGTCTCATCACCGATCTCACTATCGAAATCACTACCGATTTCATTACCGATAATGATCTCACTACTAACTCAGTCGAACGATCTCACAATCGATCTGATTATCGATCTCACAATAGAATCCACAATCGCTCTCACATTCGGTCTCACTATCGATCTCACGATCGATATCACAATCGATCCCACAATCGATATCCCATTCGGTCTCACAATCGATCTCACGATCGATCTCACTATCGATCTCACATTCGATATCACAATCGATCTCACAATCGATCTCACAAGCGATCTGACATTCGATCTCACGTTCGATCTCACAATCGATATCACTACCGATCTCACTATCGATCATCAAAACAAAACATCAACATCGCCCAGCGGGACACCAGCGGGACACCGCGGGGCCCCGGCCGCCCGGAAGGGAATCATTTCGTCCGGCCGCGCCTCAGCCACACGGGACACCAGCGGGACACCGGCGGGACACCGCGGGACCCCGGCCGCCCGGAAGGGAGACATTTGGTCCGGCCGCGCCTCAGCCACACGGGACACCAGCGGGACACCGGCGGGGCGGGGCCCCGGCCGCCCGGAAGGGAATCATTTGGTCCGGCCGCGCCTCAGCCACAGGAGACTTTCTCTCGCCCGCCCACGCAGCTTCGCCTCGCCCGCACGCGCGGCACGCACGAACACGAAACCGAAATCGATTTCCCGGTAGGGGGGGCTCTCCGTTCCACTTCGATCTCACCCCCTCACCTCCGACAATGTGTTAGATGTCTTGAGTTTCTGCGAACGCGCACTTCCTCACCACCCTCATCAGCGCCATCGCATCACCGCCAGCAGCATGGTCATCAATCACCGCCAGCGCTGCGATCATCAACGCAGCCAAATTCATCAACGGCACATGGACATCGTCATCATGGTCGTCACCTGTTTTCGGCGCCGTCATCGTTGTCGTCGTCGCCATCGCAACCACTATCGCGTTATCATCATCGTCGCCGTCTTTGTCAACGACATCACGACATCGCGCCCGCCCGAGCCACCGACCCGCAATGAAGACCTCGCGCGCCAGCGCGGCCTTGGAGACGCGCCTGGAAGTTCCCATCGCTGAGCGCCATCGCGGTCGCATCAATTGTGCCAAACCACCGGCCGACCTGTGCGAGAGCGTGCGCGCGCAAGAGCGGACGCAGAGATGCGGTAGCAAGTGCCAACCAAGAACTGGAATCGTGGCCGAATGGGTTACGATTGTCGACCAAGTTGCGGGTGGATGCATGGGATGCGTCCACGAACACTGGAGCTGACGACATAATGTTCTCCGATATTTGATTGCACCCACTAGCTTCCACCACGTAGCGTGCAGTTGGGACAGTGCGAGACATCTCTCGAAACACATGGCTTGGACGACCAGCGATGCGCCAAATAGCTTACACCACATACATCGCACTCTTCATGCTGTACAACCACGTGGATTGTCCCCCGTAGCCTGCCGCATATAGCCTTCAATGGACTACACTAGATCGTTTGCGCCATACGAGGTGGCACCATCCACCGACTGCACAACGAGTATTGCGCATCGAGATCGGACAACAAAACCACTTGTTGAGTCCTACGCTGGCACACGTTGCTTTCTGAGCACAGCGCATGTCTCTTCGCTGCTCGTCGGGCATGGTGATGATGCGGTTTATATTCTGATCAGCGTTCCCGGCAACCTTCAATCCTTTACTACAGATTGCCACCCTCGGCACACTTGTTCTGGCCGTCAAATATCATTCCCAAGACAATCCCTCACTCCTACCCGCGCGATCCAAACTTTCGAAGTCACGATTTTATACTCAACGTGGCCTCCCAAATGCCCGGACACCTCCTGTGGGACGGGCTTTGCCTCCTGAGCCGTTGTTGTAACGGCCCCGGGGTACGGCAAAGGCCCCCTTCTGCGCGATGGATTCGCGACGTGATGATACACTGGCGGCTAAAATACCCTCGACCTTCGAGGAAGGCTCAACAATAACACCAGGACCTCGACATCTAAGTCCCGGTCGGGGACTTAATCCATAAAGTACGGGTATGGAGGGCAATGTTCTAGCACCCTGGAAGGTCAGGGGACCACAGCGTCCAGCTTCCGAGCGGGGATGCCGAGACTGCAGCGGCGCTTCGAGGCTCCTGGAAGCCCGCGCGGGTCTGGAGTGGGGAGGGACTGCGGGGGAGTGGGGAGGCGGAAAGGGGGGAAGGAAAAGGAGTGAAGGAAGGGGGAGGAGAGGGAGACAGGACAGGGTCGAGGAGGAAGGGGGGATTGGCGGAGGGGGGCTGGATTGCGGGGAGGAGGTGGGGGGGGGCAAGGGCGGGAAGGCAGAAAGAGGGGGCGGGTCAAGCAAGGTGCGCTCGCGCCATATCTGCCATCTTAATCACTCCTACCTTCCCTTTCCACTGCAACGAAATAGTTTCCAGCCACTTGCTGGGGTGTCCTAGATGGCCTTGGTCCCAGGAGTGGCCCAATCGCGCGATGATCCCCAATCAGAAAGGGGATGTGTACATTGAAGAAGAAGAAGAAGAAGAAGAAGAAGACTCGGCATTGCGCTGCATGTCTGATGTCTCATGCCTGCTGCTGCTGACTGAGAATATGCAGCAAAGCACCTCTGACAGTCGCACGATCCTAGGAAAACGCTCGAGGTCAGGGTACAGCGCACCGTCCAGCCACGCAATCGAGTGAGTGCGAGACCGATTGCAAAACGTGAAGCAGCAGGAGCAGGAGTAGGAGGAGCGGGAGGACCCGGGGGGAGAGCGAAGGCAACGGCGGGGAACCACTCGGATCCCAGCAAATGCGGCCCGCGCCGGGGCGAGAGCGCAAAGTTGAACGACAGAATCAGGGCTGAAACTGGACGTTGTTTTTCGTGTTGTTGTCGTTTTGTGTTTAGTTTTGCTCTACTTGTTTTCCTGTACATTCCTGCCAAAACGAAAAAACAAGACACAGCCGAAGTCCAGCAAGACAGCGTTTAGGTCCAGCACTGGCCGCGCTGAGGCGAGAGCGCAAACTTGAACGGCGGGAACAAAGCGCCGACGCCGATGTGCGGCCAAAGCTGCATCGGAAGCACCATTCTTGAAGAATGGGCAAAGCTCTGATCGTATTATCAATCGCACAGGCCAGCTCCAGAGAATCCTGCGGAAACGCCATCTGCGGGATAGGTGAGGGGGAAGACAGCATCATGGGAGAGAGGAAAGTAGCAATTCGTATTGTGTATCTGCAGAGAGGCAGAGAAGGGAGAGGGGAGATGGGGAGCAAGACAGGGAGAGAGCGGGGGGGGGGTAGAAGAATGGAGGAGAGGGAGGGATGATGAACGATGTTGGAGGAAGATGCTCCATCGCAAACGCTCCACGTGCACGCCACCGAAGCACACTGTGAATTCGCAGTTCGTTGAACGCCATCGCGCCGACGGAGGAAGAAGCGGAGAAGGGGCGAGGACACTGTGCGAATAGCTCCTGTGGCACAGCTGGCCACTTCTGCAATTGAGAACCATACAATGGCAGCACAGGGTGAAGAAAGAGAGGAAGAGAGAGAGAGAGAGAGAGAGACAGAAAGTAGGGGGAATGGAGCGAGAGAGGCAAACTGCAGCGAACAGGAGCAAACGCAATGATAGAACACACGCCCACGTTTCTGTTAACCCTACCGTGGCAGCGAGAGGAAGGGAACATACTCCTTCGACTGCGAGCTCCAACCCACATGCACCCACGGTGGTGCACGAGGCCACCAAGAGGAGTCAGCGGGGGGGCCTGGGCCCGCCCCACCGCCACGCTGCAGGCCGACCGACCCAGGACCCCCCCGAGCCCCGCACGGGCCCGCGCAGAGCTCGACGAGCGAGCCGGGGCCCCCGAGCAGTACCCCGTCGCCCGCCGAGCAACACCCGCCGCGCCGCGCCGCGCCCTCGCCCTGCAGGGGCCGCCGCCCGAGGCCGAGCCGCCCCCCCCCGGCGGCCGCGAGGCCCGCGCGGCCTCCGCGGAGGCCGCGCCGGGCGCCGCCGCGTCCGCCGCCCCCCCCCCCGGGGGAGGCCGCGCCGCGCGCGGGGCCGCCGGCTCGGCCGCGGCGGTGCGCGCAGGCCAGGCCCTCGGCCGCGCGCAGCGGGCAGGGCCCCCCGAACGGGGCCGCCCTGCTGCAGGGCCGCTGGCGGCGCGGGCCGCCGGGAGGGCGCCGCGCGCCGCCGGGATCCGGGCGGCGCGGCGCCCGCCGGTCGCACCGGGAATCGGGGCGGCGGCGGCGGGGTCGGCAGCGCAAGAGCTTGCGCCAAGGCGGTGCTGCGGCGAGGACTGGAAGAGAGAGAGAGAGAGAGAGAGAGAGAGAAGGAGGAGGGAGGGAGGGAGGGAGGGAGGAGGGAGGGAGGGAGGGACTGATGGAATAGAGAGAGAGAGAGAGACAGAGGGAGGGAGGGAGGGAGGGAGGGAGGAGGGAGGGACCAGAAGGGACGCCAGATCACAGCCAGAGACCCCCTGTGGTGGGCTAGACGCGCAGGCACGAGGGGCATAGTACACAGTGCAACAAAAACGAGTGCAGGCCGCAGAGAGAAAGGGCAGGCCGCACAGAACGATGCTGGAGGTAGGAAGGTGGGGGGGGGTGGAGCGAGGGTGGGAGGAAGGAGAGGGGAGGGGGGGAGGAAGATGACAGTAGGAAGGGACGGCGGCAGGGGAGCCTCTCTCTCAGCCGTCGGACACTGGGGGCAGGACGATGAGCTCCACCACCCCCTTGATGCCGAGCTTATCTACCGCTGGTGGCGCTTGTTCTTCTCTGCCCTCAGCCGCTGTTGGCCGGAAACAGGCGGAACAGGCAGGCGCCAGAGAGCTTCAATCGCCACTCGTGGTTCGGTCCTTTGCATGCGATCCCCAACTGTGATTCTCAGGACGGCCTCCAGAGGGCCCGAAGTACGACTGCAGGAGGTGATCAAGGCGGCACAATGAGCGTCCAAGAAAAAGCCAGGATTGCACGCTGGGCCGGCCCCCGAGATGGCCTGGGATGCCCCCAAGAAGTCCCAAGACGGCCCCAAGATGGTGGTCTCCAGGGCACCTAAGAGACAACCCCAGGTGACCCCGAAGATAGGCCCACGTGGCCCCTGAGATCCCAAAATATGCCCCCACACGTTCCCTCAATGGCTTCCGCCACGGCTGGGGGAGCACACAAGCGACTACACATTGGCAAAGCCGTGGCTCGATGTCCGTGAAACAACGAATGGCGGCGGTGTCGCGCCAGAGGCATCTCCGATTTCGATGTCCTGCCTCCCTCGGGGAGCCCTGCCAGCCCATGTTCCCTCTGAGGCAATCTTGGACCGTCAGTCAACGAGCGTGTGCGAGGGAGACAAGCGGCAGAGGATGCCTGGCAAAATCAGGAATACAATAATACGGTCGGCGAAACCCACAAGCCAGGAACCACACAAGTGGACTAAGCGGGTTGCGGGCCAGAGAGCCCTAGAAGCAGATGATGCGGCAAAAAACTGGGTTCCCGCATTCATGTCTTCCAGCGCGTCACTGACGATGGCAGCATCCACTGGCACCATCATTTCGTTTTCGTCCACGTTGGTCGGCGACACCAACTCGTCTAATGCAGCGCGGGTGAGGTCCTCAGAAGCCTTCAGCTTATCCTTCAAGGCATTCAGTACTTTCTCTCGCATGTAGCATACACGAGTGGTCTCAGCATCTTCCTCTTCGATGTCTTCATCGTCCTCCTCCTCCTCCTCCTCCTCTTCCTCTTCTTCTAAGTCGGCTTCCTCTTCTTCTCCGTCGGCTTCCTCTTCAGCATCCTGGAAGGGAGCTCAGCGAACATACTAGCAGCATCGATGTACTCATATAGCACGTGCACGCACGCGCACACACAAAGACACACACACGTAACGATCTCCAGTCCACCCGCCCGCACACACACAGACAACATGTCCCTCGTTGCTTGTATAAGTGTGTGTTGGGTTATCCTTTTTTGTACACTCTCTCTCTCTCTATTTGTTCTTGCCTCTCTCTATTTTTTACCGATCTCGCTCTCCTCCTCTCTCTGTGTACATATGTACGCTTTACATATAACAGGGAAGGAGGTAGAGGAGTGCGTACACACATGTTGCATACAAATCCCCTCGCACGCTCGTATGTTCGCGTCTGTAAGTGAACCGAGCGACGAACAATGCACAACGATACAAATTCCGCAAACTGATCCCTTCTTGGGCCATCTTGGAAGCTTCTGGGGCTGCCTTGGGCTGTCTGAAGCCCGAGGAGGCGAGACCGCAACCATCTTCAGAACAAGTAGAGCGGAATCAATGGCTTTGGCCTCCTGGGGCCATCCTGGAGGTCCTCTTGGAGCTCTCGAGGGCCGTGTTGGGGGTCAATTGGGAAATCAGGAGGCCGTCTTGGGACATCTGCTGACCATCTTGACCCTCTCAGGAATGTCTTGAGGACTGTCCTGGACCGCCCTGTGCCGCCTGGGGCCTCGTGCCGGGCTTCCGCCAGGTCCGCCGTCCATCCGCGCGCGCCCCCGAACCCCTGAAGGGACACACACACACACACGCACACGCACACACACACACACACGGGGGACCCCTCCGCAAGGTCGGGCGGAAATTCAAATAGTCGTCCGTTTCCCCCTCTTCCTCCTCGTCTTCTGTCTCCAGCCCCCAGGCGTCATGCTTCGTTTGTGCGCAAGGTTCTGGAACTCAGAACCCAGTCTTTGCTGGTCTGGGTCCTCCTCTTCATCCCCTTCCTCCTGCTCCTCCACCTCCTGTCTCCTATTGCAAGACCCTGCCTCCTCCACCTGAGCCACCTCATCCTCATCCTCATCCTCATCCACATCCTCACCATCATCCTCATACTCCTCCTCCTCATCATCAGCACCATCATAATCGCCGTCATCATCACGACCATTAGCATCATCATCATCAGCATCATCAGCATCAGTATGACCAGCATCCTCATCATCAACATCATCAGCAACAGCAGCAACACCATCATCGTCGTCGTCATTAGCAGCATCATCAGCAGCTTCATCATCCGTGCCATCACAACCACCATCATCAGCACCATCGTCGCAGTCTTACACCACCGCATCATCATCAGCAGCATCCTCCTCATCATCAGCAGCATCATCATCAGCATCAACATCGTCGTCATCATCATCAGCGTCAGCACCGTTATCGTCGTCGTCTCCATCATCATCACTACTACCATCACCATCATCATCAGCATCATCGTCATCATCATGTTCAGCATCAGCATCATCGTCATCATCATCACCAGCATCATCATCACCAGCATCGTCGTCATCAGTATCAGCCTCACCGTCAGCAACACCATCATCATCGTCATCATCATCATAGTCATAATCGTCATCATCCGAACCATCATCATCACCACTATCATCATCAGCAACATCATCAACATCATCATCATCTTCAACACCACCATCATGCTACGCATCACCCTTTTTCATGGACCCTCCGGAGGCCCGCTGGTGCCAGACTGACTTCCCTGGGAACCTCAGAAGACCCCAGACCCAACGATCCCAAACCTTACAAAAACGCATGAACCCCAACCTTGGAGCGCAGTTGGGCATAACCTGCGATGAAGAAGCGACATCCTGCGGCCGTGATCCGACGGAACGGGATCTTAGGCGACAGGGAAGTCGGCTGTGGAACATCTGTCCTGGGGGCCTCTTGGGGCATCTTAGAGGCCTGTTCCCGCGGGAGGGGGGAGGCTCTTGAGAATTCCTCTCGCTCGCTCCGCGGGTTGCGCATCTCAAGCGAGGGAACGTTCGAGTGTACAGCGCTAAGAGAGGATGGTACCAAATGTGGGACTCCGTGGGCCTTAAAACAGCAACTCATGTCACTCATGTGTACGATGGAGGGGGTAACTCACGGAAGGTACATGTTGGGTCAATGCTTACATTGACGAATATGTCCTCTATCAGCGAAGTCAGCGAAACGTCACGTCATGGCAAGCTTCAAGCGAAACTCGTGTCCATATGGTCGAGCCCAAGTTGACGATGCTCGAAGCGATCCAAAATCTCTCCGGTGCCCAATCTGTGACTACGAGGCTGATTCAGGAGACCTTGTGCTCGAGCATTGTGGGCAACATCTCAACGAATTGCTTCCTCAGGGTCTCCAATATTCGTACTGGGTTGCACTCCATGCTCCTCCAAGCGCTGCGAGCACCGCAGCAGAAGCGGGAGGCTTCAGACTGCCATCTTGGCGAGCAGTTGCGCATGGCGGCAGCGCCTTCGGGAGCAGCAGCACCAGAGGAGCGCCCATGGCTCGTGCGTCCGATGGGGAGCCAGCTTCGCGGCGCCAGAAGGAGCAGCAGGCCAGCAGAAACCGATGAGAGGATCTACTTTCAAAGGGGCAGCCGCGGCCGCGGCCGCACTGGAGGTGGACGAGGAAGAGGACGAGGAAGACGAGAGCGGGACCTCGGCGAGAGACGTTAAGACGCTCGTGATCCAGCTCGAGGCTCGCACGAGGACGCTAGAGCACCAGACTCTCTCCACGGCCATGATCCTCAGGAAGTGCGACATCAGCAAGGTGGCAGTCAACGCGTATCAGGGTTTCACCAAGAAGCGCAAGGAGAAGCCAGAGGAGGACGTCGGGGCCCCAGGCTTCCACCTGAAGCGCCTCAGCATCATGCTGGAGCAGGGCAGCCCGCACAACGCAGCGGACTGGGTGCGCGAGATGATGTGCCTGCCAGCCTACGACAAGCCTGGAAAGGACGCGAAGAATCGGCTCACATACCACCTGGGAGGGCACACGCTGCTACCCGACGACGAAGCACAAGAACAACGTCTGCTAGCAACGCTCCAAGGAGGCGGCTTAACCTTGCGCATCCTCAAGCAGTGCAGTCCCGTGGAGATCCCAACGGCCATGATAACCATGAAGGGCACCATCATCTCGGTCGAGAAGGTGTTCAGCGAGATTTGAGGGCAGCAGGCGCCAGTTTCATGTCCAGCAAGGCGCCTAGAGGCAACCTTGCTCGCAAGCTGGGAGGAGGTGGGCGCAGGTAATAATGCTTTGAGTTGTGTTTCAGTAGATGTATTGAGTCACCGTGATTGGGGGACCGTGCGTGGGGCCCTGGGGTGAGATTAGTTCGTGTGTCCTGGTCTCCCTCTCACAACTACATCAGTCTTTCAACTTTCGCTGAAGTCGAGCCGTGCCCCCTTGCTGGCACCGTGGCTAGGTGCAGCAGCCACCGCCCCTGAGCGACTCCCGACTGCACGAAGCAAGAGTCATGTGTGGTGTAATCTATGCGTGGCCCTCACCAGGGCAAGCATCGCATCACAGCGGGATAAGGCACTGTTCTTGATCCGTGTTGTGGTCGCCTAAGTGGTGGCGAGAGGACGAAGAGGATGAGGAGGAGAAGGAATAGGAGGAGGAGGAGCAGAAGGAACAGGAGGGGAACGAGGAGGAGGGGAACGAGGAGGAGGAGGAGGAGGTGAAGGAGGAGAAGGAGGAAGAGGGGGAGGCGGAGGTGGAGGAGGAGGTGGAGGAGGAGGAGGAGGAGGAGGAGCTGGAGGAGGAGGAGGAGGAGCAGGAGCAGGAGGAGGGAGGAGGGGAAGGAGCAGGAGGAGGAGGAGGAGGAGAAGGAGAAGGAGAAGGAGGAGACGGAGGAGAGAGATGGCGGAGGCGGATGAGCGAACACCAGGCGCTCCTCCCCGGCACCGCCGCCCTCCGGGCTCAAGGCGCCATCCTCGGCACCGCCGCCCGCCATCCTGAATAGGCACTCTGTTTGTTGTCGCCCGGCGCGTGCGCCGCCCGCTGCCGCGGTCGGACCCCCCGCTGCCCGCGGAGCCTCCGAGCGTCCTGACAATCGCCCCTGAGATTTTCGCGCTGCGGAGACCTGGCCATCGCTCGGACATTCCCTGTTTTTTTTTTTCTGTTTCGTGCGTGGTTCCTTCGCGAAATGATCAAGGATGCTCCTCGAGGGTCCTCGCCGAAGGAAAAATGCACACGTCCGAGCGATGCCAAGAGACTTGGCGGCGCGCAGAGGGGGGCCACGGGGAGGGGAGAAGGCTTCTTAGAGGGAAAGACTGCTTCTTGGAGGGCGCGGGCCTTCTGTCTACAGACAAGGCCCAGCAATGCGGGATGAGGATTAACAAAAAATGGGGGAGAACGATTAAAACATAGTTTTCTGTTATTTCTGCACAATTTTCTGACTGGCGGAGAACGATTAAAAAATGTCGTGCTCAAAATAATGTCACTGAACAAATGAAATCAAAACCCTATGAACACAACGGAATCACCTCCTACGAGGTAGCCTCCTTCTTGGAAGCCTTCCCCCCTCCCCTACCCCCCCCCTTCGGGAGCGGCCAAGAGGGGGGTGTCCAAGAGGGGGGGGTGCCAATCATGACCGGCGGCATGTGCGCGGCCCAGCGGGGGGGCCAGGGACGTAATGAAATAAGAAGAGGCGCCATGAAGCCTGAGGAGATATCATGGCCCCCGCCATGATATCCACCCCCCCCTAGCCATCACCCCCCTCTCTTCCGCGCCCGATAAACATGAGGAGGGTGTGACGCGAGTTCTGGTAGACTCGACCAACGACATATCTTTGGCAGCCCTATTCTACAATCGATCTCCTGCTCGATTGTAGAATAGGGTTGCCAATCGAGTAGGAGATCGAGTAGGAGATCGATCTCCTACTCGATCTCCTAATCGAGTAGGAGATCGATCGCCTACTCGATCTCCTACTCGATCTCCTACTCGGTCATCACCCCCCTCTTTTCCGCTCCCGGCCCCTCTGCGCGCGGCCGAGACACGGGGCGAGCCGGCAGAGATGCGGGCGCCGCTGTTTCCAGCTGGGCGTCGTCGCCCGGCCTGGGGCCCCTGGACCATCGCAGTTTTTGCCTGGCGCTCAAGAGTGACTACCTACCAGCCCACCCCAACCCCAACCCGAAGACCCGAATCTCGGGTTGGGGGGGGGGTAAGGGTTCCACATGTGATTTTTCGATGCTTCCCGACCCCCCCCCCCCACTGGAAATCGAGGGTAAATTTGAGCCTTCGGGTTGGGTTGGGGTGGTTTGGTGGGTGGTGAAAGAGGAAAGTCACGAAGATGGGGTCGAGGGCTTCGGTAGTGTGAATGGGGCCCTGGGGCACACGAACAAATACACACACAGATCACAGGATTCCCCATGCTTTCCCACATGTTCTGGGTTTTTGTCCCCCCCCCCACACTTCCAATAGTTCCCCATCTTTTCCTGGGGGCCGACGATTCATTGTGTCTGTGTGTTTTTTCCCCGCCTGAAGATGATTCTCAGCGATGCTGGGGCCCTCGCCCCCCCGAATAGAACGGCCCAGGATGAGAAGCCAGTCCCTGGGAGCCTGGGCAGGCGTCGAGGCCTCTGGCAAGTCACGACGTGCCGCAATGAAGGGGCCCTGGGACACACACAAATAGATACACACAAATAAAAAGTTGCCCTACATTTTCCCACATTTTCTGAGTTTTTGCCTTCCCCCCCGATTCCCATGTTTTCCCATATTTTCTTTGGAATCGACGACTAATTGTGTCTGCGTGTTTTTTCCCCTCCGGAAACAAGAACAATGCGCCGGATGCGTGAGGAGGGGGGGGGCTCCCAGACCTCCCGCCCTGCCCTTCCAGGAGGGGCCAGACAGCTGCAAACCTGAATTCCTGTCGAGGCCTCAGGAGGTTCAGAGAGTTCCACAGCCTGGATGGCTGTCTCGTAGTGCTCTGGACAATCATGGACAGGGCGGGAACACACACTGCAGCTGCTCTGTTCCTGCATTCGACCTCGTGAGGGCCCGGGGACCATCGAGGCACGGCTCAAGGGCCAAGCGCCGGCCCTGAAGGCAATGCCGACCCCGTATGCACTACCTGTTGGACTTTGCCTCTGTGCCCTGGAGAGAGCGCCACCGCCGGACGAGCGACCCAGCGCAGAGATCCCCCGCCGGCCGAACTGAAGATCACTCGACGGGCACCCTCCCCCAGGAGGCACAAGAACACCCAACGCACACGAAGAAGATGAGGGCACCCTCCCCGAACCGACCTCGACCTTGATACAGTCGGGGCGTTGACCTAAGGAACCCTAAATAAGGAACGAGGCTCCTTTTGCCCATCAGTCAAACATCGATGTCCCATGGAAAACCTAAGGAAAACGCAGGGCAAACTGTAAAACAAACAAGGAACACCGAGCCCCTCCCCAACGACAAGGGTTCCTTCTTCAGCGCCCCGACTGTACGTCAATCCCGACCGTAGGCAGCCCAAGAGCGCACGCCTCTGCGCGCGTATATGTCGGGCCCGCCGCGCAGCAAATTTACCCCCCCCCCCGGCCGCGGCGCCCCGCTGCCTGGGCTCCCGCATCCAAGGCCTCCCCGCCAGGCTCCGAGCAGCCGGGGCCGGAGGATCCCGCCGCGTCGCACCGCCAGCGCACCGGCGCTGCATCGGCGACACGTCGGCGATGCCCCACGCCGAGCCGCATCGCCGATGCATCGGCGATGCATCGGCGATCCCCCGGCACCGTCCACACGGCAGGGTTCGCGCCGTGACGGCCCCGGCGCTGGCTTCTGGCACCGCGTGGGCCGGCCAACCTTGAGCAAGAGGGCACGTTTCGACCTCCAGATCCCCTCCGTCACCGAACAGGTGAGCCGTGGGGGCCCAGGAGCACCCAGACTTCCGACGTCGTGCTTGCTTCGCAGCGTGGCTCCCCTGAAGTCTGGGCCCCTTCCCGGGGACGGCCCTCTCCACCCGAGCTTTCTTTGAACGGCCCTGGGGTCCAGCACGGACCTGCCGAGGCCGAACACATGCACAACAACTACGCATCGGCGGTGGACAAACCTCCCTTTAGGCAACCCTGCCCTTAGTGAAAACGACCCAGGGCCGAAATCGACGGACCTGGACCCGCAAAAATGACGGCCGCGACGCCCTCTCGCGAACCGAAAACGGCCAACTCCTCAATCGACGCGTCAGGGTAGGAGGTCGATCCACCTCCGAACTTCTTTGGCCTCGAGAGACCCCCACCGAAACCTCAGGCGTTCGTTCCCGAAGGCGCGCGGTCGCCTCACAGGTGGCCGATGCTGGGCCCCTGGCGGCCTTCCACCTCGAACGCCAGCGGCGGTGTGCCCGCCGCGTCGACACGACGAAGACCTGCCGCACTTCGACCCCATGATCCTCCTCCTCCTCCTCCTCCTCCTCCTCCTCCTCCTCTCTCCTCCCTCTCCTCCTCCTCTCCTCCTCCTCCTCCTCCTCCTCTTCTCCTCCTCCTCCTCCTCCTCCTCCTCCTCGTCCTCCTTTAGCGCTGCGTAGTGCGACCCCATGATGGGAGGGCCCAGCCCGGACGGCGGCAGGCTCCAGGCCGTATCCATCCCCCTTGCGGCGCCCCAGGACCCTCCTCCCTCCTCCCTCCTCCCTCCTCCGTCCTCCTCCTCCCTCCTCCCTCCTCCCTCCTCCCTCCTCCCTCCCCCCCTCCTCCATCCTCCCACTCTCCTACACCACTCAGCCCCCCTCCCCCCCGAAATCTCGAACGACTAGAAAACGTCATGGTCGTCAAAGGCTGGACGACTTCCGACGTCTCTCGACTCGCGCTGGAGCGGTCGCGATCTGCTCCGACTTTCCCTCGTGAGCTCCGAATTCAGCTGGACTTGCCCAGATTTACATGAGCGTGATTCGATATATCTATCTGCATTTAACTGGATTTCTCTGGCTCGATTCTCACAAGTCGATTGGCGAAAAATCGCCAAACACCCTTAGGGACACGGGCACCTGTCTTCCTCCTTGGCCAGGGCGACGCTCCAGTCCCCGCTGGCAAGGCATCGGGCTGCGCACAGGCAGCCCCCCCCAAGGTAGTCCCGGCTGCTGGCCCCAGCAGGACCCCCGAATATTCCAGGGCGGCCTCAACAACCGAGTACAGTCGGGGCGTTGACCTAAGGAACCCTAAATAAAGGAACGAGGCCCCTTTTCTCCATCGGTAAAATTTTGATTTCCCATCGAACACATCAGGAACACCTGAGATAGGTTGCGAAACAATCAAGGAACGCCGAGCCCCTCCCAAATGAGAAGGGTTCCTTCTCCAACGCCCCGGCCGTGCCGCCTCTGGCGGCGCCGGCGCCCCTGGGGCGCTCCGCGCCCCAGGGACGGGGCGCTGCAGCCCACAGCCTTGACCTCCCCGCGGGGGCGTGGTCGCGAGGCACGGGAGCCAGGCCTCGGAGGGAGCGGCACGGCTGCGGGACGGGAAAGCGACCACAGCCGCTGCTTCTTGTTTGCGCCGTCTTGCAGCCGGCCGAAAAAGAAGCAGTGGTTGTGGTCATTCCCCTTTGTGCCAAGCTCCGCGAAAGTGACCACAGCCACTGCTTCTGTTTCTGCGGGCTGGAAGGCGGCAACACAAGACAAGCAGTGGCTGCGGTCGTTTCTCGCGCCCCGTAACAGCGGACGTCGAAGTCCTCCTGCTCGATCTCGGCTCTCGGCGGCCCCGCCTCGCGCCTCCCAGGGCCTCCGGGGACCTCTGACGGCCTCCGGGTATCTTCGGAGACTCCCGCCACGAGTAACCCCTTCCTCTTTCCCGCGTGTCGGCCGAAAAGAAGTAAGCAGGAACATCAAGCAGCAACAATTCAAGGCCCGTCGATTGCTGCAGCAGGAAGATACTGAACGTACATGATGATCTGAGGTCCCACAAACACGTGTCCCCAAAGGCCGACAAATATACCTCTCCATCCCCCGCCCCCCACCCCCCTGCTCTCGTATCCCTTCACGGAGATGTGGGATGCCTCATTATGTCTGACCGGCTGTCCATCAAGCCTTGTCACCATCGACTTACCGAAAGCTCTCATCATGACGACTAAAAGTGTGGCCTGTGATGGGCGAAACTGCGCGCGTCGCGGGGAAACAAATATAGCAGCCAAAACGCTTCATAGTAGAGAACAGATGATCGGCGCAGCTCTAGATGCAGATCCAGCGTGACAGCTTCGTGGATCCGACACACGGCATGGGCATGTGCACACACGCGAATCCCATGCGCAAACACACGGGAACTCACAACGACATACCATACGTCTGACACGGTCAAACTTATGCATTTGTCCCAAATTATAAGTAAGTGCATATGCAATCCAGCTAACTGCAAGACAGCAGGCCAGCTGACATAGCGCTCGATGCAATACATCTGCAGCGAACGAAAACGATTGCTGCATGCTGCGACGTTTCATTGCATAGAACCCACTTCTTTGAACTGACTTGCTGTGGTTCGCTTCCTGAATTGCCTGCGCGAGCCTCGCGAAAGACTACCGAACTCCACTCAGGCATGATTAGCCATCGAGTCGGAATGCGCGTCGGATCGGGTTGCATCGATAAAACATCGAAATCGAATCTGATCGGCCGCAGCAAGATGTGTCGGAATTGGCCGGGATCCGATATCGAACCTGGTCGATCGGAGCGAGGTGCACCCTGTCAGGTTCTATCGCTCGGCCGCCCCGAGAGGCGAGCCGCAGCAGCACATGGGGCGGCACTGGCGGCGGCAAGGAGCAGCATACGCGGACACTCTTCGAGTAGGGGATCGACTACAGAATCGATGTAACCCAAAACTGATTTACCCCGTCGAACCTACGAAACATACCTACAGTGCTCCGTAGATCTACTGGCCATTCAACGCTGTGAATGAATTGCGAGGAAGTCTCGGGCGGGAGCCCTCTCCCTACGGGGCCCGCGCTTCGTGTTTTTAAACCGTGCGGGTCATCCTCATCTGTGTAACTGTCGTCACCTTGGGGCTCCTGAGGCTTGAATCTGGGGGAAGTATCAGGCGGGAGCCTCGTCAGTGAGTAAACTCTAAGGAAGTCGCAACCGGGAGCCCCCTCCCTATGAGGCCCGCGCTTCACATTTCATCCGACTGGGACATCCTCATCTGTGTAAGTGTCGTCACTTTGGGGCTCCTGAGGCTTGAATCTGGGGAACGTATCAGGCGGGGAGCCCCGTCTGTGAGTGAACTAGGAAGTCTCAGGCGGGAGCCCCCTTCCCTAGGGGCCCGAGCTTCATGTTTTTAATCAGAGCGGGTCATCCTCGAACCTGTAACTATCGTCACTTTTGGGCTCCCGGGGCTTGAATATGGGGAAAGGATCAGGCGGAAGCCTCGTCTGTGTTTGAGCTGCGAGGAAGTCTCAGGCGAGAGCTCTCTCCCTACGGGGCTCGCGCTTCGTGTTTTTAATCCGTGCGGGCCATCCTCATCCGTGTATGTGTCGTCACTTTGGGGTTCCTGAGGCCTGAATACTGGGGAAGTGTCAGGCGGGAGCCTCGTTTCTGAGTAAACCCCAAGGAAGTTTCAACCGGGAGCCCCCTCCCTATGGGGCCCGTGCTTCACATATTTAATCCGACCGGGTCATCCTCATCAGTGTAACTATTGCCACTTTTGGGCTCCTGAGGCTTGAATATGGGGAACGTATCAGGCGGGGAGCCCCGTCTGTGAGTGAATTGTGAGGAAGTCTCAGGCGGGAGCCCTCTCCCTATGGGTGCTTCATGATGTTAATCCAAACGTGTCATCCTGATTTATATGCCTGTCGTCACTTTTGGGCTCCTGAGGCTTGAATATGGGGAAATATCAGACGGGGGGCCTCGTGTTCGAAGTCGTTCGAGGAGGAGAGGGAGGAGAGGGAGGAGGAGGAGGAGGAGGAGGAGGAGGAGGAGGAGGAGGAGGAGGAGGAGGAGGAAGAGGAGCAGGAGGAGGAGAAGGAAGAGGAGGAGGAGGACGAGGAGGGGAATCAGGAAAGGAAAAACGCCCAAACTGCCCAGGCCTGTATCGTGCCTGGCGCCCCTCACTCTCCTCCGATTCCTCCTCGATCCTTCCCTTCTTGGAGTACGACGGCTTCCCACCAGCCTTTACTCCAATGCGTGCACCTCCAGATCCCTGATCAGGGCAACTCGTCTGGGCATCGTTCCTGGATAGGCTGGTGGGGTTACGCGAAGCGGCTAGAATCGTTGCAACGCTCAGATTCCAGAATTGGCCGCCGCGAGCACATCCTGAATGGGCTCGATCCCATCACGAGTGAGTCGCAACGAGCTGTGAAGTGCGGTGTGGAGGCGGCGATGATCACAGCGGTGACGCTAGCGTGCCCAGTAGAACGGGCATGTGCCTCACCCTGCACAGGCCAAGGGGTGTGGCCTACACTGCTCGCGTGCAATGGGGGTGCGGCTGGCGCTTCGGATGGAGGTCGCGGCATTTGCACGCCGATGCCCTGTTGTGACGACCGGGCTGCGCCCACACTCCGATGCGAATGCAATCTGTTGACGGGCCCATCAGGTAGACAATCACATCAACAAACAAGCCAAGAGACGAAGGTATGTGCGGCAACGAGACATGCACGACAAGCGCAGAGATGCAAATTACAGGCACGAATGCAGAAAGCATTCATAGACACACAGGCAGGTGAACAGTCAGATAAACTAGACAGGTGGACGGACGATTGGATAGATTGGGGCAGGAAACCTCTGCGAGCCCCCCCACCCCCTACCGAGACGTCGAAATCCCACCAGCCCTCTGGGCGTCGGTGGTTTAGAGCGTTTCCTCTTCCACCCCTACTTCTTCCCCTTCGGGGAGGGGTTTACCCCTCCCCCTACCCCCTCCCCACTGACCTGGACAGGGGGGGCCGCGGGTAGTTAGAGCGTCCAAGAACGACCCCTGGGAGGGCTAAAATTCGACACCCCTCATGAGGATCGTGCCCCCCAGGGGGGCGACGCTAAAAAATGCTTCCCCCTTCTGCGATCGATGTCCTCCAAGAGGGCCTCAAGAGACGTCTCGGACTCTCCTCTTGCGCCCTGCGCGCGGGCGGGCGGAGCGCCGCCCGCCCGCCCGCGAGGCCCAAGAGCCCACCAAAACGTTCGAAGATACCTCCAAGACGCCACCAGGGAAGAGGAAGAGGCGGAGGAGGAGGAGGAGGAGGAGGAGGAGGAGGAGGAGGAAGGGAGGCGGAGGAGAAGGCGGAGGAGAAGGAGGAAGAGGGGGAGGAGAACAGCTGCCGATCATCGGCGCTCTTCGTTCGAGTGCCTGGTGTAGGATGGGCTGGTGGGGATACGCGAAGCGTCAAGAATTTAGCTTAGTGTTCGTGTCGTGCGTGGTGCGTCGTGCGCGGATTTGCACGCGAGACCCCAGGGTGTCGGGGGCCACGTTGAGGAGGTAGCGTCAATGTGCTGCGGAGTCACAGTGCCACAGGGTGGCGCCATGGTGTCACGGTTGCTGCAATGCCACGGTGTTGCGGTGGCGCGCGGTGTCGGAAAATCGTGGTCGGTATCGCGGTGTCGCGGTGCTTTGACGTCGTAGTGACACGTGGCATCATGATGCCACGGTGCCGCTGACAATTATTTCCAAGCGTTTCGGTGTGTGCGTGTGATCCGTGTCCATGTCGCAGCGCGGGTCACTTGCGACGCACTTCACGACCACTCACCACATCAGCCGCGTGCTGGCTGGTTAGGTGAAGGAACATCAGCACCTATGCAGGCGAGCATGCAGGTAAGCATACAGACAACAACATTGAGACATGAATACAGACATAGACTTGGCTGACGCAACGCTATGTGATCGCAGCTGCACGTGCTAAATTGGCCGACCACACGGTAGAAACAACAGGATGGGCTTGATGCACTCAGGGAAACGGCACGTGTACTGGAGGCAGCAGGTCGAATGCGGCAGCATCGATGGCGACGGAAACACCGACGGCGACAACAACAGCGCCGACACAAGCCAATGGGCGCTGGTTTTCTCAACGCCAGGCTCGAGTTGGCCAGCCTAGAGTGCTCATTTGCAGCTTCTCGCCCTTCTTATCCGGAGCGGCTGCTCCCAGACATGGCCGACGAATTACAGGCAAACAGCGGCAAGCCAATACAACAGCGGTGAACGGACTCTTCATGGGATGACCAAGTCGGGGTGGCCGGTCTTCGCTTCTGGGCGTGCGTTCGCGTGCAGTGATTTTGCACGGGGCCGCCGTGTCACCACTTCACTACGCCTCTCACTCGCGCTCGCTGCAGGTCCATCGTCGTCATTGTCGTCGTTGTCAACGCCGCCTAGGGTTCATGGTGGCCCTTGCGAGCTCCGCCCCCCTAAATGTCCTTGCATCATGACGGAACCAAACCAAAAAATAAAAAGGCCCATTCTTCCGGGGCCCGGTTCCGTCATGCTACAAAGACATTAGGGGAGACGAAAGAAGCAAGGGCCACCAGGAACCCTAAGCGACCACGACGACAATGACAACGACAAACCTGCAACGATGGACCTGCAACGAACATAAATCCAGGACCCCTTTCGAAGGGGCCCTGTATCTATGTTCGCGGTTTTTCGGCACCCGTGGAACCCTCCACGTCCCAGGGACCGTCGCAAATGACTCAGGATGAAAGAGCTGATCCTTAGGGAAGGCCAGGGGTCCCCCCCTCCTCTCCTCCTCCTCCTCCTTCTCCTCCTCCTCCCCCGACTCATCCCCTTCCTCCTCCTTCTCCTCCTCCTCCTCCTCCTCCTCCTCCTCCTCCTCCTCCTCCCTCCTGCCTCCTTCCTCCTCCCTCCTCCTTCCTCCCTCCTCCTCCTCCCTCTTCTCCTCTCCTCTCCTCTCTTCTCCTCCCTCTCCTCTCCTCTCCTCTACCTCTCCCCCGCCACCCTCATCCACCCCTCTCCTCCTCTCTCCTCCTCCTCCTCCTCCTCCTCCTCCTCTTGCCTCTCTCCTCCTCCTCCTCCTCCTCCTCCTCCTCCTTTCTCACCCCCTTCCTCTCCCCTCCTCCTCCTCCCTCCACTCCTCCCTCCTTCTCCACTATCCCCCGCCTCCTTCCCCTCCTCCTTACTCATCCTCCTTCCCGATCCCCGCCCTCCTCCTGCCCCCTATTATTCCTTCTCCTCCTCCTTCTCATCTCCTCCTCCTCCTCCTCCTCCTCCTCCTCTCCTCCCCTCCCTCCTCCCCTCCTCCTCCTCCTCCTCCTCCTCCTCCTCATCATCATCTCATCGATCATCATCATCATCATCATCATCACATCATCATCATCCTCATCATCATCAGCCATCATCATCATCTCATCATCTCATCAGCATCATCACACATCAGCATCAGCATCTCATCATCAGCATCTCAATCATCATCATCATCATCATCACCTCATCATCATCATCATCATCATCATCATCACAGCAAGCATCCTTCTCCTCCTTCTTCTCCTTCCTCCTCCTCTTCCGTCTCTCTCTCCGGACTCCTCCTCCTCCTCCTCCTCCTCGTCTCTCCTCCTCCG